GGGGTTTTACCAGCTGCCTTTCCTCACTGCAGCGAGCAAAGGAACCTTCAATCATCTCCTGGGGCAGGGCAGAGCTCTGCAGAGAGAGAAGAATGCAGGCAGAACTGAGGTGAGGGGACAAGAAATGGGCAAAGGAGGGCAGAGTGGGACAAACAGAGATGTACGTGGTTCTACAGGCAGCCCTGAGGACCAGTCCTGGTCCTACTGACTTCGAGGGAGAGAGAGGAGAGGCTGAGCTGCTGTAGTGGGGCTGTTACAGCTGTGATGGTTTTAGGAGAAGAGGAAAGGAAAATTTACAGGGAAAAGCAGCATCTCCAAGAAAAGCAGATGCTCAGGCTGGGAGAGCAGTCGGCACTCGGGAAATGGAACTGCTGGATCAAACCTGCAGCGGTGCATCCCAAAACTCACCTATTTCCCTGCCAACCAGCTACAGCACCCTGAAAGCAATGGAAGGTGCTCCTCTCCCTCCCAGGGGTGGCTCCCTGAGCACACTAAGACAGATGAGCCCCAAATAAGGATCAATAACTGGGCTGTGAATAAGGCAAGATGGACGAGGGAGGGAATGGGCACTGAAAAGGGCAAGTTCCAGGCAGGATTAATGATGGAGAGGGAGTTGCACTGGAGCACAGGAAGTCACACTGCTCAGCTCTTTGTGCCTTCAGGAGGGGAAGGGTTTGGAAGGAGTTACATGTACCAGGGAATCCAGATGCCAGTGAAAGCTCACTGGCACCCCCAGAGTGCTTCTGTCTCAGTGTTATGGGCTTTAGATGGCAGCAGGGGCAGATCCAGGAATAAGGGAAAGAGCTGGAAAACCATAGGGTAGTCTCACAAAGGCACAAGCTTGTGCTGGTAACACCTCAAAAAGGGACTGGGAAAAAAACCCAAATCTGACCATCTCAAAGCCCCTCTCTACCTCTCCTACAGCATTCCACTCTTATTTCCTTCAGTTCTCACATTCCAGGCCACAGCCCTCTGCCCAGCCAGGCTGTTGTCACAATCAAAACCATTCCTCCAGTCTTGTGTCTCCATCAGGATGTGGGGGGAGGCAATAAACACCCCTTCTCCAGCAGCAGCTGCACAGCTTGCTCCAGGCACAGGGTGCTTGGAGGAATGTTACCTCGGAGGAAATCGTTAAAGGAATCCGGCTAATTTTGTAATTCACACCTGGACTGCAAATGTTAAAGAGCCTGCAATAATCTCTAATGAAATATCACATTCTTTAAAGAGTTCCCAGTGAAATTCGTCCTTAATTGATTTTTGATCTGTGAAAAAACACCGTGGAGAGAGAGAGAAGGTATCGGTCAGATTCCTGTTTTATCCCTCCTGCGAGCGTTTTCCTGCCTTTGTTTCCTTTGTCCCCAAGGAATCAACACTACCCTGGAGAAAGCAGCCTGGAAGACACTACAAAACTAATAAATAACACTTGAGTGGGAATCCTGAACAGCACATCCTCTTAAATCATCCTGAAAAAGGTGAAGCAGTCTCCTAGGACAGCTCAAAAATCACAGAATGTTGATCCATAGCAAGAACCATCCCGGACAGACCCCGTGGGTTGGACCTTCTCCAGCCCTCAGGAACCTCCCCAACAGCACCGAGGCTGATCCCTTGTGCAGTGACACATCTCAGCTTGCCCTCAGGACATCACAGGGGAGCTTAATCCAGACATGAATGACACAGAGAAATGGCCAAAAATCCTGACAGCAAAAACCTGGCAGAAAATTCCTGACAGCGGCAGCATCCGGCAGCTGCTGGAGCCAAGGAAGCAGGTCAGGATTAACTCACAAGATAATGCACTGCAAAGCTCTTCCAAAACCCAGCAGCAAACTGACATCAAGCAAATGAATAAACAGTAAAATATAGCTGGGAGAGATGAGAGGAAATGCATCTCTAAACATCACCGGAGACCCAAATAAAGTGCTGAACCAGGCGGCTGGAAAACACCGGGCATCAATAAGGCTTTAACTAACATTTACAGCTGCCACAGAGCCTGCTGCAAATAGCCAAAGCTAAATGGGAAAAGGGGAAAAAATGAAGGAAAGGATGTGCAAGGGTGTTCTTAAGAGCTGCTGGAAGGAACTGCATCCCAGGCTGGCCAACTAAACCAGCAGGGGAACACCTTCCATGGCAAGGAAATTGTGATGGGATTGAGGGCAGGGTGAAATCTGGGAGGCTGCCAAGGGAATGGGAAATCCCTGGATGTGCTGAACATCTTCAACAATAAAGCCTTTGCTAAAATAAAGATGCTGTTAATTAAGGAATTAAGGGGAGAAGAATCCTCACAACTGCTGTGTTCAGGTCAGTGCTGCTCAGTAACAGATTCAAGTGGCTAAACCTGGGATAATGATGGATAACCTGGGACAACAGGGGATGCCTTTCCCTCAATTACACAGCACTAACATCAGGTTTATAATATGGCCCTGGCACAGGTTGCCCAGAGAAGCTGTGGCTGTCCCATCCCTGAAAGTGCCCAAGTCCAGGCTGGATGGGGCTTGGAGCAGCCTGGGCTAGTGGAAAGTGTCCCTGCCCATGGCAGAGGGTGGAATGGGCTGAGCTTTAAGATCCCTTCAAACACAAACCAGTCCACAATTTTATGATTCTACGGTTCTCATGGGAAAGATCAGATCAATTTTGCTTTTGTGAAGCATGTGTTGGCTTACTCCCAGCAAGGGTGGTGCTTTTCAGCTCCTGCTGGAGAACTTTCCTTATCATTCCATTCATACGTCTCTGTGAGATCCAGTGACATTTCCACCTCAGCTGAAATGGGGGAATCAGCCAGATGGGATTCCAATGGGAGTGATTTCCCTGTGACCATGAGTTTTATCCTTGAGCAGGACTCAGCTGGGACCAGTCTCTGCAGAAGCACCAAGGGAAGCTCTGTGAGGAGTTTTCCATCCTGAGGGCTTTTCTTTCCTGTACCAATCTGAGGATCTTCCTTCAGCATCTCTCCCTCGGCTGCCTTGTCTAGACTATCACACTGAGTATCTGGGGCATTTCATAATCTTCTTAAGAACTGTGACCTTCAGTTCTGTGTTACAGTGACCTGAAAGTTTGTCCAAGAAAAACATGTGCTTTATTTTTAAAATACACAAATTCCCCCAGCTCAGCTGTTTCCAGGCAGGTCCAGACCATGCCACATTTTCTCACATCTGCAAAGAGCTGCTGTATGTGAAGTGTATTTCTTCCACCCCACTTCCTTGGGTATAATCATGCACAGTTAATTTTAAAAAATTCAACAACTTGGTAATTTTTCCCCTTGTGTATCCCTCCACCTTCTGGGAAAAAAAAAAAAAAAAAAAAAAAAAAAAAAAACAGGCAAAGAACCAGCTCCATACAATAGATATCAGTGATAGCCCTGGAAGGTGGCAGGTGCCAGGACAGGCCATCCAGGAAGCTTTCAGCTGTCTCCTCTGGAGCTGGGCACATCTGCAGATCCTCAAAGCATCCTTTGTGTCCAGTGCCTGCCATGCCCCACAGCACAGAAGCTGGCACAGGGTGACCTGGGTGAGGTCACAATGCCCAGCAGCCAGGACACACCTGGGAGCCACTCCCATATCCCAAGCCCCTGTTCCAGCCACTCTCCCTGGAGGCTGGGGCCCTTGGTTTGTTGTTTAAGGTACAATTTAGTGCACTCCTTACCTGCTTCCTTTGAATCTAATGAACCACGCTCTCAATTTGATTTGTCTGCCTTGGAAGTCTGCTCCTCACTAATTCCCATTCATCCATCTAGTTTTCCTTGTTCCCTGCAAACTGTCATTTTTCTGACTGCAACATATTCAACTCCATCATCCCAGGCATTTTATTTGTGTGGTTCTGCTCTAACGGCGAGCGTGGCTGTTTCAAATTATGCCTTGCTTTCAGTTTTGCTTGAGTGTAAAAATGTCGTGTAAAAATGAACTACCCTCTGATGAAGGCTTTCAGCCTTCCCATTTGAGGAACAGCAGGCAGCTTTTTGATTCTGGGAGCAACGGGAGAAGGAGCAATCCAGCTTTTGTTTTACAGATTGCTACAATAGATAGCTTCCCTGTAGGAAGTGCAGCACTATATTATGCTTATGTAAAGGGTAATGACTGGGAACTTGGAGAACTCTCCTCTTTGGAAGTGCCTGACTACCGGGAACAGCAGGTGTGGAGGAAGAAGAAAGCTCCAATGCCTTTCTGTCCTGACTTTCTCTTCTTTTATGTTTGGAGACTGAACTCGGTGTCAGAAGCAAGTCGGCTCCTGCAGGTACATGAAAGTGGAAAGGTGTAAACGTGGCAAGGAAGAAACCCAAAGAAACAGGGGGAGGCAGGGTAGGGCTGAATCCCAAAGCCTGGCCCTGAGCAGCAGCAATGGAAGGGGCTGTGCTCAGCAATAAGAGGCTCTTTAGCTCACTGTGGGGAAACTGGGCGATTACCCGAGCGGCTGGATAAGGGAGAGAACAAAGCCAAACACTGCTGGGGAAAGCCTGCGCCGTGTTCCAAGAGCAGCACAGCACAGCACAACAGCAGCAAGCTGAGGAAAACCCCCTGACACTCTCCACAAAGAAATTTCTGACCCACATCAGATACTAAAGGTGCCCCTGTCTGTCCCTGCAGACATGAGGCAAAATGCTCCTTCCTGCTGCTAAACAGCACAATGAGCACCACAGGGAGCAAAGCTGCAAAAAGGGACCCTTTGCTTTGCCTGGTCCAGGCATAAAAGATGCCAAAGCCCCAGGAAATGCCACCAAGATGCAGGATCTGCTGAAGTCTGAGCTGAGCAAAGCTGGCTCAGGCAGCTCAGGGAAAGCACTCGAGGATCCTATGTGAGAGCAAAGACATGAGCTGGCACAGAGGGAGAAACAAAAGGCAGGACACTGCTCCAAGCCAGGCCAGGAGCAGCTCTCTGGGATGAATCAGAAAATACACCTTGCCTGGTTTGCCCCTGATTGGGAAGGTCTCCCTCCTCTAGTCCAGAGCCTTCAGGTTGTGTCAGACTTCATGGTGGTTTTTCCAATTTTGGGGGTCACATCCATTACCTACCCTGGTGTGTGTCCAGCTCCATCACGTCCAACTCCCTGGGTGGCCTTTGGGAACAACAGAAAAAAAACACAATTAAGTAAAAAGCAGCAGGAAATTCCATGAATAGAGAATTGTATGAAAGAACTGAGGAAGGAGAAAACCCCTGTGTATTCCCCTAAACTCTGTAAGAATTGTTAAAAGCAGCCAAACAAAGGGACAAGAAGCTGCTGGGACAACACAGTAATGCACATTTACTGAGAATATGGATCAGAGCAGCCCAAGGATGTGATTTGCATCCCTTTCCAGGCTGAGTTTTAGGAAACCAGCAGCTCCCAAGCTAGCAAGCAGAAGCATGGTGACACATAGCAGCCTGAACGTGCTGGACAACAAAGACCTCCCCGGTGCTCTGAGAGGAAGGAAACAAAGATGCAGCAAAATACAGACAAATTAAAAGGACTCCACCAGTCACAACAGCACGAGGACAATGGGAGTTCTAAGCTGTATGCCAAGGGAAAGCACAGACTGAAATACAAGTGGTACAGTCAGCACAGGAGATGCTACACAAGCCTAAAATACAAGTTCATTCATGGAGCTGTGGTGCAAAAGCTGCAGGAGATGGATATACAGCTGAGACACACAAGGAATTGAAAGAGGGAGTGACCTGCACAATCCCCACGTTATCTCTGCCAGAGAAAACCTCAGATGGTGTTTAAGGAGTGGGATGTCTCTCAAGCACACCGCAGCCAGCACTGGGTGAGAGGAGAGCAGTACAGCAATATGTGACAGTAGCAATATATACTGGGAATGCACTGCAGGAAAAGGAAACCATTCTGAGAGCCACAGACATCTCTGATCCAGAAATGTGCCCATCACAGGACGAGGTGCAAGGCAGGGGTAGTGCAGCAATGAAATAAAACATTTTGCTAGCACCAAGGGAATTCACCCCAGTCAGAGAGCACACATCCAAACACAGGCGACCGAGGAGACACTAACTGGGAAGAGGAAAAACAAGCAGCAAACTCCAGCTCTGGCAGCAGGACACACACAGAACACACTCTGGAGGCAGGGAGCAGCAGCCTTACCGTGATCCCGATGCTGGCAGTCAGTGGCGATGGGATGGGAACGCTCCTTGGGATCCAGCTGCAGAGCCACCAGCAGTCCCACAAACACCAGCCCAAGCAGGGAGGGTCCCTTGGAGGCTGTTAGGCTGTGGTTTAAGGTCTGGGATACAAGAACTAGGTCCTCTCTGACTGCTACAAACAGCCAGGAGGGGAGCGGTAGCTGTGAGATGAAGCAGATAAAGGATCACACACAAGTGATTTCCCATCTTCAGCTTCCAGCCCTGACCCACGGAGCGAGAGCAGCACAGCTGACAGGCACAGATCTGAGAGACTCAGAGATTATTGGGACCTGGGAATGATCTAATAAAACCTCTTCCTAGTCCTGCTGTGCCCCGAGACAAACACACGTTACAGCTGCATTAAGACAACACAGCTGCTCTGTAAAACAAGCCGCTCTTTCCAAAATGCCATGACGTGGAGGAAGGTAAAATCCAACCACACAACAGCAGGGAACAGGGGCCTAAGTCGTCCCATATGGAAAAGAAACAGCTATACCTGTGGTCACAGTAATCCCAGGAACAGGTCTGGCTTGCTGGTAGCCTGCTTACCAAAACAGATGCAATTTATGTTCAAAGTCAGGAAGGCTTCAAGAAGAAAACCTCAAATCACTACTGGGTGGGTTTTTTTAAAGCCACAGCTTGCAGTCCAAAATATCTCCTGTGCCTCCCACTGAAAGGGAAGTCTCAGAGCTCTGCCATGTGCTGCTGGAAGGAGGGCTGTCTCCAGGGATGCTTCTCTCCCAGAGCATTCTCCCAGCATCAGCTGGGAGTGCTGACCTTCCCCCCAAAATAAACACAGCAAACTGCCCAAAGACATGAAAAGCATCAAAACAAATGAAATGCTTGGCCAAGTGCAAAGCCAGGCTTGGAAGGCCTCTAGGAGCCCCAGGATCAAGCTCTCCTCTGCAGGAGCTCTCATCCATCATCCCAGTGCCAGTGTCAGTGCCACTGCCCCTCCATGCTGGGACAGGCACCAGCAGTGCCAGCTCAGCACCAGGGCTATGACACAGAGCAGATCTCTGGATTAGGTCAGGGTATTCCTGGAGGAGCTGGGGAGCTGTAAATCCATGAGAGATAGTGCAGGAGGGTGCTGACCTTCCTCCTGACCATTCCACCTGCAATATTCCCAAAAGCACCTTTCCTGCAGGTTAGACTGGCAGGATTAGGGATGCCAGAGGTCTGGCAAGTGTCCAACACCTGGAGAAGTGCTGATCAGGAGGAAGAAGGAGACATAAACGAAGCACATGCCACCCTTCAGAGACCTCACAGCAAAGTAGGAAGGAGCCTGGCATGGAGAACAACTTCTCATTTATCTCTTAGGCCCAGCCTCTGGGGAAAGCATCCAGCAGGGCTGTGGGAGGCACTGCAGGAAGCACAGGGAAGCCAGCGGGTCAATCCCAAAATTCCAGTTGTGCTCACTCCCTGTGCTTTTGTACCCTTTACCTGGGAGGGGGAACAGAGACTGAGAGCCAAGCAGCAGCTACCATGGCACAGCAAGAGCAGAGCCAGGAACTCAAATAGCTCTGAATTAGCTGCAGAAAAGCTGAAGGAGAAGAACAGGGAAGCAAGGCACTATCAGGGGGAGAAATGCCTGCTTGGGAAATGGAAGATGCTTCCCTCTCTTATGTGACTCCTGAGGGCTGTGCTGGGAACAAGAGATAAAGGGGGAATGGCCTTAAACTGAAGAGACAATAGATTTAGATTGGATGGAGAAATCCTTCCCTGGGAGGGTGGGGAGGCCCTGGCACAGGGTGCCCAGAGAAGCTGTGGCTGCCCCTGGATCCCTGGAAGTGTCCAAGGCCAGGTTGGATGGGGCTTGGAGCACCCTGGACTAGTAGAAGGTGTCCCTGCAGGTGGGACTGGATGGGCTTTACAGTCCCACCCAACCCACACCATTCTGGGATTCCTTGATGAAGATGACAAACAGGTGGGCTGGGATAAGTGATCTAAAAGTCCCAGAATTCGGGTCTGCCTGATGCCAGGAAAAACAGCCCTTTTTCTTGGGACCAGCCATCCACAGGAAGCAAGCTTAGACTGAATACACACATCCCCACTCCTGAAATACCCCAAACTCTCAGTACATTCCCCTCCACGAGCTCAAGAAATGAGCAGAGGAAGCTGAAACACGGAAGGGGAGAGTTGAGCAGTGGGAAAGAGGAAGAAGAGTCCCCCACAGAGGCTGACAGAGACTCTCTCCCTCATCACAGCCAACAGCTCTTGCATGAGGCAATGTCCTGTCCCCACACCAAAGATGCTCCTGTCCCAAACCCCAGACTTCATGGTGTGAAGTTTGTGCCAGCAGTGGGAATTCCAGCTCCTTCCAGGGAGCAGCAGGAATCAGGGGATGTCTCCACTCAGGGACCTGTGGGTGCAAGGAGGGTGAAGGAGTCCCAGGACTGCTCCCCCAGCCCAGCTCTCTGAATGAAGATGGGCCACTTTTATTCCACATAACCCAACATTTCAAAGCCTGGGTGTCCATTGCTGGGGCTGGGGCAGTGGTGGGGAGGATTGATCCCTTTGCTGACAGCAGAGACACATGGAGTGAACAGCAGAGGGGCTGGAGTGGTTATTGATTTGCTACATGACCTTGGCTAAGTCACTTAACCTCAGTTTCCTCATCTGGATATTGGGAATTATGGGACTTTCAGAGTGCCACAAATTCATCATAGGGAACTACTTAAGAGCTCTTTATGACTTAATGGGATTTCCCATTTGAAAATTACTCCCATGAGGATTGAAGAAGTGGGACTGGGATATTCATAGCCCAACTTCTACTGGAAGTACAGAGCTTTTTTTTATTTTTTTTTTTTCCCTAAAACACCCATGTAAATCTTGCAGCTCAGGAGCACACAGCCCAAGCATGTCCAGCCTCAGTGCTTTTTACAAACACTTTTGGAATCGATTCTGGCTGTGGTAACAAACACCTCTCCTTGTCCTGATTCATGTGGATTCAAACATTCAGAGTTGCAGACCCTAAGCAGTGGGGAAAGATGCTCAGCTCGTGGTGTGAAGTCTGCTCAAATTCACCTGCAGATTGTCACACATGGCTCCCTGGAAGAAGTGAAAATCCAGAGCATTAAAAGCTAAAAGTAGCAACAAATCCACAGTTCCCCCTGAAGGTCAGCTGCGGGGTCCATTTTCTCCTGTGGGACACCACCACTGAACCATGGAATCACAGGATAGCCTGGTCTGGAAGGCACCTGACAGACCATCCAATTCCATCCTCTGCCATGGGCAGGGACACCTTCCACTATCCCAGGCTGCTCCAAGCCCCATCCAGCCTGGCCTGGAACACTCCCAGGGATCCAGGGGCAGCCACAGCTCCTCTGGGCACCCTGTGCCAGGGCCTCACCTCCCTCACAGGGAAGAATTTCTTTCTAATATTTAATCTAAACCCACTCTCTGTCAGTTTGAAGCCATTCTCTCTTGTCCTGGCACTCCAGGCCCTAGGAAATACTCTCCATCTTTCTTGCACCTTCAGGCACTGGAAAGTCACAATTAGGTCACCCCAGAGCTTTTCTCCTCCAGGTGAACCATCCCAGCTCTCCCAGCAGAGCTGCTCCATCCCTCTGCTCACCCTGGTGCCTCCTCTGGGCTCTCTCCAGCAGCTCCAGCTCCTTCCTGTGCTGGGACAGGGCTGGGGCAGCTCTGCAGGTGGGCTCTCACCTGAGCAGGGCAGAGGGGCAGAATCCCAATCCCTTTTCTTTCTTCCCACACTGCTTTTGATCCATAGGAAGGTTCAAATCCCTTCATCCCCACACTTCAAGCCACTGCCCAGCACAAAGCAGGCACTGATGTTTCCCAAGAACAACCAGTGCTCCCAGTTGCAGAGCAGTTCAAAGCACCTTCAGACAATGCAGGCCAAGGGTTGAGAAGCTGATGGCAAAATTCTCTCAAAATGGTGAATGCTTTTCTAGGAAAGGGGAGATAAAAATACCCAATGTTTGTGCCTCAGTACAGCCAATGCTTTATAAACCCTCACAGACCCAAACTCAGCCCTGGCACTTGAGGACCACGGGACTAAATCCAAAGATCTTTCCTGTGCTAACTCACTCCCCCATGGGGAATTCAAACACTTACCAGACTGAGGAATATCTACTTCTGCCCTGTCACACTCCTTTGCTCCTTGCTCACCCTTCCCCTCATCACCCACACAGTCAGTTGGTATTTATTCTGCTCTATTTTATTTGGATTTCCTCTAAGCAGACTCATTAATCTTCCCTGCAGATGCACAGCTCTGACAGCTGGGGTCTTGACACCTCCAGAGCCAGCGAAGGACATTCTCATACTCTTCTCTTCTTTTTCCCTGCTCCTTTCTCCTTCTAAAGAAACCCTTCATACCTCACCAGGCACAGGGTTTTTGATGAGAAGGTCATGTGAACTAGAGACAAGGGGGCTGTGGGGGAGGAAGGCAGGGGAAGAGGATGCAACTCCCACAAGGAACTCCCAAAGTCCCACTGAAAAGGTCAGGATGCTTTTGAGTCCTCTGCACTGCTCCCCAACACAAAAAAATATACTCAGGCCAGCACAGAGATACTTGATAAAGAGCCTAATGAAGTGGAAAGAGTGTTGTAGGGGAAGAATAGTCCTCTCTCATCTCAACATCCCATGATGCTCCATCCAGTTGCTATGGAGACTTTAAAAGAGAAGGGGTTTTGTTGTCTTGAAGGGCCTTCTCCCTTCTCAGTAACCTTGACCTTTTCCAGGTTTGTGTGTTTGTGTGTGCATGTGTATGTATTTGTAAAAAAGAGATAAGGAATTCCATTTCTTCTTATCTGGTCATGGCTCACTGGCTGGCACTGATGCATGTGGGGGGCCGTCAGCTTGGCTCAGCATGGAGATTTGGAGAGGATAAGAGCAGGAAAATACAGAGGGGAGCAGTTAATTAAGGCTGATATTGCAAAGGACATTGTTTGCTGGATAATGAATTCCATCCGCTCCAGAAACACAAGTGCAATTAAAGGTGTGAGAGATGAAGGGCAGGAGGGAGCAGTGGGTCACTGTCACTGTACAAAGTGGCCCCAGGGGCCCTCCAAAGATGGGCTTTCACACAAGAAAACCACCACCAGAGATTATTTCTCATAAACAAGGCAGAGGAGCTGCTGCCTTGTTTTCGCCCCGGTGAGGAAGGGCTCTCTGTGGTGTCAGCCCTTAGAGGGATGTGAGAGCCACTCAGGTTGAAAACAGGTTGATTTAGGTGGTCCTCAAAGCAAGAGGAATGTGGAGTTTAGCAGACAGGCCCGTGCACAATAACACTGCCCACAAGTTCATGTTCATTCCCTCCCTTCACCAGGAATTTACAGGTAATTACTTAGCAGGAATTTAATTCCCATTTTTAGCCAGGCCAATAGAGATGCTCACATGTCACTAGGAGCCCACTGTTTTCATCCTCCACTAGCCCTCATCTACATCTACATCCCCTCTACCCTCCCCATCTCCTTCCTGAAGGAGAGAGGGAACCTTGGTGCTGGAATTTGTGCTCCAGCTTGGGTCCCCTCCTGGTTCAGAGGCCACCACAGACCCTCTGCTCGTTCTCCACATGAGGGCATGAACCTCTGTGTGCCATCACCTCACAGGACAGATAACCAAGGGAGGAAAGATGGTGGTAAATCATCTTTTTTGTGGGATAGGAGCCACAAAGCTTGGCTTAGAGACTGTTGGCATGGAGAGGAAGGAAGACATGCAATGTGCCTGCCATATCCTCTAGAGCAGCAGAGAAACCAGGCAGCCCATTCTAGCCAAGAGCACAGCAACGCCCAGGAGTCAGGCCTGGATTTGGATGGAGCAT